ACTAATTTTTTTCGTGTGCACCTTTCCAAAGTCGCGAGTCTTCGTTCCGACGTATTTAAGTTTACAGATCGCAAAGTGTGCTTCGACTTTTCAAATTTTTCCGCAGTAAAGCGCGCAGTACGGATTTTTAACTCGGATCGCGGAATTCAATTAGTCGGACGTCGGGGTCGAATGTTCATCAGCGCAATCAGCGGGATTGGTCCGCCTTGAATTACGGGCCGGGCAAATAGTCGGTACAAGCAAGGCGGCACCTCGCTGACCAAGTGGGATCTCGATCTTGATCGAAGCGGATAAGACGCTCCGATCGAAGGCCTTTGAGAGTGAACCGGAAACACGCTCGCTATGGAGCGCCGCGAATAAGCGCCGGCGACGCAATCGGCGTGACAATCTGTGGTCCATTAAATTTTCGTATTACCAGTCTATGGTATATGGAGTATGCGTGCCTCGCATCGTCGAGGACATAATTACACGAGCCACGAGCCGAGAAATACGTCGAATGCCACACCTATATCATCCTCGTTAAGTGTCGTCCTCGTTAAGTCGCACGATTCCCGTCTCCCTCTTTGATGATGATCGTCGCGAAAGCCCCCGCACATCTCTTTCTCTTTTTTTTTTCCGAACCGTCGTTCTCAATCCCCCCCCCCTCTCTCTCTCTCTCTCTTCCTCCATCTCGTCTTTACGCGACACATGTCGGTCAGCCGTGCAATACACAATGACGGAAAACTCGCGCGATGCGAACTTATAGTACGAACTTGGCAACAGCGACCACGAGAGAAAATCAATAGGGCCTTTTAACCCTCTCCTCTGTGAGAGCTTCCATGGGGAAAAAAAAAAATCACCGCGGACGAGTGCCCGAATCGAGTTTCGTCGTTTATTGTTTATCGGTTAATTGTTAGGATTTTTTTAATCAAAGGGATGCGCGCTACGCTCTCTCGCGTGTTAAAGAGAATGGCACTAGTAATCATGTATATAAACGAAGCTTATTGATTTACATTCGCCGTTCCACGTATCAAGCGTGAAAGCACAATAGAATTCCTCTACAAAAAAAAATATCGAACAATTAATGAAGTTTTCACTATCGAGTAACCGAGGCGATTTCTTCCAAACTTTCCCCGCAGCCTCAGTACATAAAAAATATTAGTATAATAAAAATATTAATATAAAAAATTAGTTTAAATTTACTCATTCTTACACTAATAACACTTTATTATTATTTTTTAATTTTCTTAAATTACTATTTCTTAAACTTCTTAAATCGTTCGTTTATAATTCTTCTAATAAATTGCATATAATAACACAGTAGAGAAACAAAGAGATGATAATCTTAATCCTTTGACTCGCGAGAGGCAATTTAACAATGTTATCGGGGAAAGGCGAGAGATTGTGATAAGCACGTAATAAAAGAGATTAAGATAAGATCACTCTGCATGTCGCACTAAATACCGTATTAAGTAGCAGAGATTACATTTATGCACAAACATGGGATATTTGGAAAATGGCTCGTCCTTCGCTTGATGACAGCGGCCAAGTGTGTCACGTGTCACCTTTTCGCGTCAACAATAATATGCAGTGCAATAATATGCAGTATAAATAAAAGCATAATTTAAGCGAGATGTAAGGTTAACGCTCTGTTAACTTGATAGGTAGGGTCGCTATACTAATCGATGTGAGAAAACCGTGATGAGGAAGCGAGGGTGTGGCGTTAATTGAACGTTATCGCTGATTAATCGATGGCATTCAGGAATATGTATACACGATGGAATTATGATACACATCGGAGAGCAGGAATTGCGATAAATATGGCTATTCCGCCCGTATATTCAAAATATAACTTCAACTATATACAAATAAAAAAAGATATTTACACACATCTATAAAATATCGTATAAACAATATTTTTTTTATTTTTATATATATTTATTATATATATTATTATTATTATATATATTTATTTTTATTATATTTTTATATTTATTTTTTATTTTTTGTCTCCTACGTAAAAGTGTAATTTCAATTGAAATATACATGTATCACTAAATATAGAAATTCAGAAATAAATATAGATTTAATAATCGTATATATATCGATATGCAGACCTATTCTGCGGATTTATCCATCAAGGGATAAAGGGCTCTCGTATCAGAATCTCTTGACTAGAAGTACGTGCTTGTGCTCTCAACTCGAAAAATATTTGTACGATCTGCGAAGAAGAAATATCGCAACTGATTTCGATGTAACAATAATTTATAGTCTTCCGACGGAATTTATTCTGTCAAAGGGGAATATCATATCAATTACATTGTTTATTAGTATTTTTACCTGTTTTTCTTATCGGTCGAAAGAGTTTTTATCTCATTTTCGCCGGTAAACGCAAAGCTAGCAGTAATGATTCCCGGAATGTTTATGACGTCTGCTAATTTAGATTGAATTGTCGAGGACGCAATTATAAGATCTTGCCCAGCGAGCAATTCAAAACGAGTTTCTCCCTTCGCGTAAAACTGTCGTGAAATTTCAGATTACTCGTGCAAGACATTTTCATTAACGCCGCTATGATT